ATGTGGCAGACCATTGGGGTGGAGATTGTGGGTGGGAAGAGAGATGGAGGATATAGAAAAGGTGAAATAAACAGTATATAGAGTGGGGAGGAGAAGAGGAGGAGCTGGGAGAGCCTGTCAGTGTTTCTTAATTTCAACTCCAGCCTTTGGGCTCTCGCTGACCTACATACAGTACCGGCATGACAAAAACGAGTGTCCAGAATTTGCTTTCTCTCCTTCTCCCCTCCTTTCTCTCTTCTACTGTGTGCGTGTGTGTGTTTGTCGTCCTACATGCAGCTGCTTTACACACATACACACCTATATTCTGATTCATGTGAGTAGTTGATTACATGCAAGTGAACATGTTACAACTCCTGCCAAGCTTGTACACGTTTGTGGAAACTGCAGATAAGAAGGAAAGCTTTCTAAGAATATTTTTGGTGGTTCTTTGTGTGTGTTGGCAGACGGATGAAACCAAGTGGGACAAGGGGGGGAAGTGGTGTACATATAGGTAAATGGATGGATGGCTTTAGATGCATTGAATGCTAACAACATAATCTGTCTTCAAGCTTTATTAAAGTTATGATTATGTTCAGCTTTTACAGTCTAGTACAGTGCAAGGTACCCAAATATGTGTGAATATGAACAGAAATCCACAGGGTCATTTTTCAGCTACATTCTTAATACTATACTAATGTTCACAACAATGCAATGTTTTGACAGTTGATATAAATTGGTATATTGCATTCATTTCTTATGACACAAGATCTAAGCTGTTTGAAATACTACGGCCAATTTCAAATCTTAAACCCTCACAAATAGATAAAAAATGTGTTATTCCAAGGAACTTATCTTTTCTGAACTTGCTCCAGAGCCATCACACAACCTTCCGTACTATTTCTGTTTTTATCAGCTACGAGTAGGTCTTCAATTTCTATTGTGTGTTGGATTTTCAGACGTCAGTATCCAACAACACACACAAAAAACTGAGAAATTCTTGTGTACATGCAGGCATTTTTAAGTATTTATTTTCCCTACATGAACACACAACAAACTCCAAGCATTAAAGCAGAGATACAATTTGCATATAATATGCGATTTGGATACAGAACATGTCTCTCTAATGTACACACCAGCCGCCGGCTAGTTCAACCAAGTGCTGGGAAATGTTATTAGGTAGGACTAAGAACATCTAATTACTTTGTCATTCCTCAGCTTTCATGTTCACTCAGTCACAAATGTTTGAGTGACAGTTTGGAGTGAGAAGTAAAGGGGGGTGAGAGAAGGGGAGGAGAGTCTTCAGGGGGGTGAAAGTGAGGCAGAAGAGGATTGAGAAAGTCTTGGGAGGGTGGCGTCCGTCCTGTCAGCCCACATCACATCACTGCAGAGCTCAATTGCCCGTGGAGGTGCGAGAGATTTAATATGATAGAAGGGTGGAAATCAAAAGATTAAAGAGCAAATGAAAGACTTCTGAATATAAGATGATGATAATAATAATAATAAGAAGAAGATAATCTCAATATTTGGAGAAATTCAATTTTTTTAAAAATCTTTGTGTTTGATTTGTGTGAACTGACCCTTTAATCAATAGTCCTGACTGCTCTTTATTCTGATTCCTCAGGTGGTCTGGGTGAGGCAGTGTGCTCGGCAGTAGTGAACGAGACCGGCTTCAACGTCCACCGCTTGGCAGTTTCCCAGGTGCCCCGCAGCGGCAAGCCCCACGAGCTGCTCCGAATCTTTGGCATTGACCGTGACGCCATCACTCAGGCGGTCCGCAAGGTGCTCAGCAGCTCCGCCAACGCCAAGTAAGCACGTTGCAGCAACGGCAGCAGCGGCAACAATATGGTAAAGGAGTCCGTGGTTAACTGGTGATCACCATGGAGACAACAAACAAATAAACCACCACAAAAGGAGGGGAAGCACTTCTGGCCCACTAAAGCTCTCCTGCTCACAAAACAATCTGAAGCATTCGTTAGAACAAATAAAAAATGAAAAAATGAAACGTTTTCTCTCTTTAACTGTCATCAATGTGGTTTTGAGACCCCAGATTTTACCCCATCAGTTTGTGAGTTCAGTAAACACACCCCTCCCCTTCACACACACACACACATCCACACCTCCCCTCTCTAACCCCCTTCCTACCTCCCAGAGAAAGTTCTGGTACTGCTGTAGTGTTTCAGTAAAAGCAGTGAACGTGGTTTGGAGTAAAGTGAAGTCTTTTTTTCTATTTTCTGTGGATCCCCTCTCACTTCTTCGACGCAGCGTTTCGTACGTCTGCACCCAGTACGACTTTGTAAATCCCACCCCACTAGATCCAGCAGGGTGAGGAAGAACTCTGGTTTGGTCTGTTTGAGCACTGACTGTTTTTAACCCTTTTGACCCTGACTTGGATGGGACTGCTTCACACCAATAAAGGGATGGTTTCTTCACAATATCTGTGTGTGCGGTCTTTCTTGTGGGTTGTGGTTGCATGAAACACGGTTCAGTTGTCACAGTTACAGCATCCTATTAACTCACATCTGGGAAAACAATTAATTTTTTTCACTGTTGCGTATGTGTTCAGCCAAGGAAAATAATGTTCTGCCCTAGCCATTATTTTCTTACACTCAAAGTATTATTAGCTCTGTAAGAAGGCTGAAACCTTTGATAAAGACTCTTCATTATTGTTAATTTGTTCTAGTGGTGACGACATTTGGACAGAACACCAAAACTATCTCCTCTTGTGTTCCACAAGGTTTTCATCTCATGCCACCAACAGATCAGAAATCCCACTTATTCAAAACTTACATACACAACAGGGATCCCTCAAAATGAAAAGACCTGTCATCATGCTAACTGTACTTCAGCATGTAACACAGCATAGCACTAGTGTTAGTGTAGTACATTAGTCTTGGCTAAGAGCAAGTCTTGCTCCTCTGCCTTTTTTTGATGGTCTGTGTTGAGCGCAGACTCTCTGGATAGTTTCTTTCAAAAGTCACAGTTCAACAATCCGACTCTGTCATGTCCTTTCTGAGCATCCAATTTCAACCAGAGTAGATCGAATCACAGCCACCATCAGAACATGATTTCTGTTTTTTAATCCAAACTGAGACATCTGTCCACCAACATCTGACATCTAATCGTACAAAATGATGATGGTGGTTTTGAGAGGATATAAATTTGTGTGTCCAGACTGGATTATCAAGAAGTCATTTTGCCTGATTACTCCAGATCCTCCATATTTTTTTGTGATGGCCCTGACAAACAAAAATTATTAAACTATTATGACTAAAATATATATAAATGTACTGTTCTGTATGTAGAGGTCATCCTATACAGGCTGCATAGTGTGGTTGGTTGAGTTTAGGTTAAAGAGCCTGGTTGAAGTATGTAGGATCACACAAGCCCACATCCACCATGTGGTGTGCATATTTAATGTGTGTTAATAATTGAAAAGCCTTCTGAAAAATTCACGCAGGCTGCAGTGTGTGTACGTGACAGTAAAATACGCTGTGTGTGTGATATTTTGTATGCCATTTTAATTTTTCCCCATTGAGGATAAATTAAGTAAATCTTCTTTCATTCAGATTCAGTCAGCCTGCACTTTGCAAATATTGGCAAAGCCCCAGCATTAACTCAATTTCATATCAACATTTACAATTGTCATTACAATAATTTATAAATAACAAAGGTATTGTAACTGATTCTACACTAAATGGAAAAAATACAGTTTGACTATTACTGTACTTTAATTGTAGTTGGATTAAATCTTTGTATCTCCAAAGTGTTTCAAGAAAAACAAGCTCAACTTTAGCTTTAACAATATTTTTTGAGCTATTTAGATTTTGAATGCCTTCATAAAGAGAGTAGTTCTGAAAATGATTTTAACCAGTAGAGAAACTAAAAATCAACAAACCTGGAGGTAGAAATATGTCAGCAGTTACATAATGATCTAAAATACTCTCGTATCTAGTACTAGTTTTTGTAACTATTATAACTGAAGTAATGGATCAGATTTAGTATCTATCAGATGATACCTTTGTATTATGGCGTTTATTCTCAGGTCAGCGGGCCGTCTCTTCATGGAGCTGAGAAATTTGTATAAATCTGTATTAAATGTAGACACTGCACACAAGTTTCACTTAAACCAGTTGTTTTAAAGTGTTTGTGAATGCGTGTAGATCTAAGGTGGCGCAGAATATCAATAAGGTCCTCTTTGTCCTTTTAACTAACAGTGTTATCGTCCTGTACTAAACGCCATACTGACTGAACTCCAGGTGGTGAGAAGGACCACAGAAGATTGGATGTGATATTTAGGACGACCTGTGACCTCGCTCCTATAGCGCAGCAGGAGCCTGTCTGGTCTTTGAGGTGGACAGAGTGTGTCAGCTGTGTGTGTGTGTGTGTGTGTGTGTAGAGAGAAAAGTAAAATGGACTGACATATTGTGTGTGTGTGCATGTACTGTAGTGTGTTCACATACTGTAGGTGCTGGGAGTGTAGACAGGCTGGGCGTTTCTGTCTGATGGCCGTCTAAGCATATGTCTGCATATCTGTCAATCTGTCGTATGGATTCTTCTCCACTAATAACGCACACTCACTTGATCGTACATATGAACACATGCGGAGTGGTTCATACAGCTCCTGTCAAACTGAATTGTTGCTACCTCAGCGACTTCAAAATATACATACTATACATGCAAATATGCAAAAAAACACATTAAAACATGCTCCCAGCTGCCTGTACATAACAAACACACACACACACAAACACACACACTCCCTCACCATTCATACAAGGCAGCACATGCTTCTTATAAGTTAAATTTATACAATGATGGGAGCCTAACATTTCTATAACGTGTGTGTGTGTGTGTGTGTGTGTGTGTACTGTCGCTGTCTTGTCATATGTAGGGCCAGACAGTGCTACAGGGTTCCCCACTTCCTTCCACCTCACTGAGCCCCTGCCCCCCTCACACACACACATACACACGCTAACAGTCTACCACATGGCCAATTTCTCAGACACAAAGGAATATCAATGTACAGTACATTGTCTCATGATATAATTTTAAAGGGTCAGTTACAAAAGTATACATATATTTTGAGATATATCTACAGCTGAGACAACGACATGAGAAAAACTCAACATTTCTTTGCAGGTACAATGTCTCGCTTAGTAAAGTATAATGGTCTTCTTCATGCATTGCAAAATACCACAAGAGTTTAGTAAGAAAAGATTTGTGATTTAGGTGAAATGATCCTTTAATAAATAAGAACCCAAAAAAGACCAACAATGATTAAAATAAGTTGTATTATTTAGCTTTACAACACACTCCTTGAGGTGATTTTAAAGCTCAGATTCCCATATGTAATTATGTACACAATATAGAATAATATCACAGCTTAAAATGACAACTGAGAAAGAGATACTAAACTTTGTCTTAATTATGTAACTGAAAGACTTCTGACACTTAAATGCAAACACTGATTACTGTGTGTTTGTGCATCTCAGTGAAACTGTCTTCAAGCCTGAATGAGAAGCTTCTCCCCCACATTAAAAAGCACTTAAGCAGTGTGAGCATAAAGTGTTCAATCTGTTTAACAGCATCAAATATTCAGCAGGTAAAATAACTGCACTTTGTATGAGACACAATCTTCAGTTGTACAAAAGGAACAGGAAATTTCCAAACCCTAACCCTTTTATTCTTTTCTACCATGGGGCTTTTCTGTGTGAGATGTTTCTACTGTCTTTTTTTGTTTACTCCTCCTCACCCCTTCTGTCACATCCAGTCAGTCAGTCCTTCCCCACCCAGCCCCATTAACTCCTGTACTCTTCCCCGCAGTCCCCGATGAGCGCCATGAGGTCCCTGGAGCGTCGTGTCACTGCTTCAATGGCGGTAAGATCTTCCGCCGTCAGCTTCAGGTCAGGGCTGCAGCTACGCAGACTGTCACTGATGTGTTGCCCCGCCCCTGCGACGCCCAGCCGACAGCCCACAATGACCCCGCCCACCGCAGGGCGATCCAGCACATAGCGCGTTGCCACGCTGGCCACTGAGCAGTCGTGTCTCTTGGCAACGGTCTCCAAGGCGACAAGGAGGTCCTGGAAAAGGTTCCATCCACCCCAAGTGTCGATCATGTTCTTGTACTTCGAGAGAGAGGCGGTGTAAAGGTCCGCCCTGGAACCAGGCTCCACCTTCCCAAGATAGCGCTCCGAGAGTAGACCGCCAGCTAAGAGAGGACAGTGATGGAGGAAGAGGAGGGATGGAACAGGGGCAGATGAGGGAGTCGGGGAGGATGGAAAAAGATGGAAGGAGGAGGAATATAGGATGGAGTAGGAAAAAGGAATGGAGGAAGAGAACAGATGAGATGGAGAAGTTGTTGAAGAGAGAGAGAGAAAAACAAGAAGGGAGGGAGGAAGGAGACAAGATGATGAAGGGGGAGGGCAGAGGAGAGAGGATGTGTCATCACGTCAACTGACTCCATTTTAGAAAACCACCATTTTAAATATTTACGCCATGATGGTAAATGTGCTTCTTATAATAATGAAGATCAAGTGAACCTTCTTTGTCTACCGGAGTGATATTTCTGTATTTAAATAATGCAGATGATATAAACACAATGACTGGATTTAAAGAAATGGGTCGTATCTCACCCAGAGTGCCGTAAGTGAGCAGCTGAATGTTGTTAGCCAGACAGAACTGCTCCATCTTTGCTGCAGGTCGCTGGTCAATCACAGAGTACTGAACCTGCACAACAGACGCATTAAATACACAGACAGATAGATGCACTGACGGAGGAGGAGAGAGAACTCATGAGAGTCTGATGGAGTATTATACTAAAGTGGAGGTGTTACCTGGTTGCTTGAGATGCGGATGCCTCTGTTGGTGATCTCCTCCAGCCTCTGAGTGTTGAAGTTAGTGAGGGAGAGCTCACCTGAGGAAGAAAAAGAGGAAGACCTGCAGAGGTGAGACCTGAAGTGTTCTGAGAGTTAAAAAATCCAAGAAACCCAGAAACTGATCCCCTTTCTTTTGTGGACACTTCAGGCATACTGTACTGCCTTCAGACAATACGTGTGAATCTTTATAGTTGTGTGTGATCAGCATTAGAGCCTGATTCTTTTTAAACATTTTGGTCTGCTGCTGACATTATTTTGTTTAAATAACCCTAATGGCCTTCCTCAGCAGATTAGGTTGCTATAGTTGAAATGTGATAGAAATCTTTAGGGGTAAGGGTTAAGTAAGGGGACCATGTGTTAGGATTAATAATGACCCCAGGGTTTAAAACACACGAGGGCTCGACTAACTATTGTAATTTTCAGTGCCACTGTTTTTTTTTTCTGTATAAAACTTATATTTTCCCGTATATTAAGGTTACTGAAAAATATAGGCTCACTTGTTGACATGCTTTGAACTGCATGACAAGCCTACAAAACATTTATTATATTGCAATTTCTCAACACTGATACTAATACTGATCTGTGATGAGCCACAATCAGTCTGCTGATGTATTAGAGTCTAATACTGTATGTAATATGTGTCTGTATAACTGCATGTAAATTAAACATAAAGTGTCCCGGTGTGCCAACTTATTGTTGTCTCTTGCGGTATGTACATTTCTTCCTCCATGTATTGTGTGTACGTACGTATAAGTCCCTCCTGCTGCAGGTCGGATAGGTGTCCCAGGGCATCCAGGTATCTTTTGTCTCTATAGTCCCACCAGTGGAACTGGACACAGTCCAGACTGCCCACCTGCATGCGGGTCATGGAGCGCTGCAGCGCCTTCTCCACCACCTGCACACAGAGAGACACTGCAGCTTTAGTTTCTACTTTCAACAGTAAAACTGTGGATCTTTAAAAATAACAGCATTTCAGTTTCATAAACCTGAAGGTCCAGATTCAGATGTCTCTACATACACCAACACAAACATACAATGCCAGACAATATTAATAGAACAGAAGCTGATACCGACATTGTTTATTGGGAGTTAAAAAAAAACAACACACACATAATATAAACTATCTTGATACGAATACATACGGAGCAGGACATTTCACAGAAAAAAAATAAACCAGTGAGGTGATTTCCTGGTTCTTTATAAAGAAACACACTGCTCTCTAGTGGATACATTTATTCTCAGCGTAAAGCACGTCAGGCTCAGTGTGTCACTCTTCTCGACGCATATGTCAGCAGCTCACCTTGCGGTCCATTGGTCCTGGTCTCGGCACGTATTTGGTCAGACTCTGCAGAGCTGGGCTGTCATTCCCAGAGGATCGGCTCTTCAGCTACAGATCAGACATTATCATCTGTTATCATGCACAATATCTTGCAAATTCTGTTTTTTCCTGCCAAAAATACTGTAAACAAATGATTTACAAACGATGCAGGAGTATTTGTTGATTGGCTAATAGTAACCTGGAAAGCATGTGTAATGAGACAAGCTGGTTGGATGAGAAGAGCTCTCTGTGTCTCTCTACACATTATTCCAGGTGAATGGTTGAGACCACGGTCGATACCATTAGACTGTCACAGCACATCAGCCACAGAATCTCTGATCTGAGCCACACCGGGACCTCTCTGTGTGTGTGTGTGTGTGTGTGTGTGTGTGTGTGTGTGTGTGTGTGTGTGTAAAAGAAAGGCAGAGAAAGCATTACCTACTTATGCTTCTGTGAAGCTTGTGTGTATGAGTGTAGTGTGAGAGCATTTCTTAATGTGTGCGTTGAGTATCTGCAGCTCTGTGGAGAATACAGACATTAACAGCTGGATGGAGTAATCAATAACGAGGCAGGACGGAGCTTACAAGAATATACACTATGAATGACAACTGTGTCCCTCACAATTACCTCAATATAGGAATTTCCAAGGAATTTCGGAAGTTTAATTCTGGCTTATATGCAAACAAAAATGTGTTTCTGATTTAGATCTTTTTACTTCAGCATTATTCCCAAACATAAACCTGGGAATGTTGTCACTGGTATTTTCCACTAGCAGCCTGTTTTTCTTTATCTCTGTTGTTTCTTGCTTCCTTTCTGTCTCTTCTTGTAAATGTCACACCCAGACACACACACACACACACACACACACACACACACCTCTGTGGAGTGCCAACTTCAGTCTACAACGGCACATCAGCACCATCTTGTGTTTCAAAACAAAAACAGGTACAATGTAGTCACCACATCTCACTGCAAGATCACTGACGTCTCTATAGAAACATTAAAATAACTAATAATTAAACATTACTCAATATTTATCTGATTGTTTTTGCCACATTGTCACCTTTTATAAAAACAGCATGCACTGAAAACTGACTAAAAGAGCAGATAGGACTGTGTAAGCGCTTATTTAACTACACTGTGTGTCTGTGTGTCTGTGTGTGTGTGTGTGTGTGTGTACCTGGCTGTTGAAGTGTCCAAATATTTCCTCTGCTGGCCCATAAATGTCTGCCATATCAAATGTGGTAAGACCAGCGTCTACATAGGCCTGCATGGCCTCAACTGGAGGGAGAAGAGGCAAATTATTATTATTATTATTATTAATTAACAGCAGTTAGGCTATGCTGGAGTAAGTTAGAGAGGGTGTGGTAATCAAACTAGTAGTTTTACTATATTTTTGCAGTAGTGACTACAAACTGTAATTACAAAAAAATCTGACCTTTTTCACAGCAGCAACTTTGACATGAAATAGTAGGGTAATCACAGGTGTTACCAATGATCCTCATTTAGGTTCTGTTCCATTCAAGGTCAAATAGTCACTGGAAAGGCTCTGCTACAATAAATGGAATGGATCCTCATTAGTATCATTGATAACACCTGTTTACACCCTAGTATTTCATGTCAAAATGACTGCTGTGAAAAAAGCCAATTTGGTCCACGTGAAAAGCCCAAATGGGATTGTCTTTTTAGGACAGATTTAGACCTCAGGTGTATTCCAGGATGCTAAAACATTTTCCGTCAGTGTTTAACGTTTTGAATCGAATTGTTTTTGTTATATTTTGTTATAGTTTCATATCGCATTTATATTGTCATATTGTAGCTTTGCTTTACTTCAACTTTTTCCAGTTTTGAGTAATTGGTAGCTTGCAAAGTCATACTTAGCTACCCCAACACCGGATCACATTGTTGCACTACTAACATATGTAAATTATTTATAGTATCTGTTTTACCTTTGAACACTTTTTAAATACCTTCCTGAGATTATTTAAACTCCTCCAGTCTGTTACACTGTTACAACACAACCCTTTCACAATGGAAAGGTCACCTTTAAACCGTTTTTATAGCCCGTAGTGCAATAACGTTCCATAGCATGCAGAGTGCAGTTCATATGTGCTACAAATGTGATTTCACAGACTCTTTTCTAAACTGGCACACCTGGTTGTATATTCCCATGATACCTGAGTTTACCTGCTTTGGCTTGATCCACCGCTCCGTGAGCCCCGGACACCTGCCACATCCCGTTCAGAATCCGGCAGACCTCCAGACCTCCGGACAGTCTCACTTTGGGCACCGGGGACATCGTGCGGCCAGTGCCGGGGAAGGAGCTGCTAGATGCGGCCTGTGCTTTGAGTATAGCTCCTCTCTTCCCTGGTACATAAAAGGTAAAACATCGATTGTTTTTCTCCTTGTCGCATCATTGTATTGAGTTGTCAATCAACGTTGTGCATGGACCCGTTTGATACTGCAGAATATAAACAACATCAACAACAATTACTTACTTTTTCCCTACAAGAGCCAGAAACACTGCCACAACAAAACAGTTACAAAAGATTTTGCATAAGTGTGTTACAAAATCCACGAGTGTTTCAACCAATAGCTGACTCTGTTGAGCCGGAAATAAACTTCTTCTTCAGCAGGTTGGCCGCTGGTTTCCTGCCCCCTACTGGACACAAACTGTAACTTCTCTTTAGAGAAATAAAACACCTGAACTGGTCTTACAAATGTAAGACAATAAACCAAGAGCAGAACATCTGGCAATAATGAGGCAAAGAGACATGATACAGTAAAAAACCATCTTTACTTTTCAGTTACATTCCTACATAGAGCAGTCCCTGCAGACAACATGCTGTAAGCAGTCCCATTTTAAATGTATCATCACTCCACTGTTGCTGCCTTCTTCTTTTTCTTCTTCCTCTTCCTCTTTCTCTTCTTGCCAGGTGTGCTGTCATCCTGTCCTGCTGCAGGTGTCGGTTTGTCCTCCATCTCTGAAGCTTCAGACTCTTCTTCTGAACCTGCGGGTCTCTTCTCGCCGGTGGACGGGCTGCGTGGCGTCGACTCCACGTCACTGCGAATGCACAATATGTTTAGTCTAGATTTCCATTTTACACATTACAGGCATTGAAACAGCATTAGAATAACAGATGTGATGTATTTGAATGTAAATAAGACTGAAAGTATCTTTGATTTACTAATCCTGAACCAATTGGACTTTTAATTACAATTAATTAACAATAAATCGCACCCCAATATTTACCATATCTGAACTGCTGGCTCCTGCTTCTTATTCCCAGCCTCACTGTATCTTTCCAGCAGAGCCACGAAGAAGCCATGCGTGCGGGTCTTGGTGGTGCTGGCACGCAGACACTGAGTGAGCGGCTCCAGGCCTCGTTCAGGCCACTGACCCAGCAGGGGAACCAACCTGCAGGAGGACACACAAACAATTAAAACTAAATCCTGAAGTCCAGCAGTAAAGCCTGCATGTTCAGAGACTGACAGCTGATTCCACGTCCGTCCCAGTGTTTCACTTTAATATTAAAGGCAGAGCGGCGAGGGAAGGATTTAGATTTAGTGAAGGTGAAGAGTTGCTACCTGAAGCCAGGGTTCTCCTGCAGACAGGCCGCTACAACGTCCTCGTTCTCCTGGCGGTGGATGGAGCAAGTGGAGTAGACCAGGCGCTTCAGCCGAGGGAACCTGAGGCCGTGGTTCAGGCACCGCAGCTGGAAGGAGGCCAAGGAGGCCAGACGAGCCTGATTCTTCTCCTGGTCTACAGAGGAGGCATCGTCCCGGAGACACACCATACCTGAACCACACACACAGATTACAGAAATCAAATTAACATCATAATGTGTTTGTTTAGAGGCACACTAGTATTCTGGTATAAGCAGAAATCTTAAGAAGATACTGAGATGTGAAATGTCTGTAAATATCAAAAGTAGCACTCAATCAGCAGTATGATGTCCCCTTTGACAAAAACATTATTATATGTGACATTATTAGATGTTTAACTGTTGTAGCTGGTTGAGGTGGAGCCTGTTTATCTACTTCAGATACAGTCAGGTAGTTTAGTCCAGTGGTCAACCTAGAGTTCAGGTCAGAGGCTCAAGATTACATTTTTCCTCATTGTCGTGCAACTGTTTTGTTTTTGGGTTTTTTCATTCTATATAACGAATATAACTTAGTTCAATAACTTTGTTTCAGTGTCTCGCATCACTTCATTGATTCTGTCTGGTCCACTATGGAAGTTCTGCTAGTTTGTTCCCTGCACTTATAAAAACATCTAAACTAACCCTTTGGTTTGGCCACAATCTAGTCAATGGTTGAGTTATTCTATAGTTCCTACATAACTATGTAAATAGCTATATAGCTATGTTATAAGCTATAGGAACATCTGAATCCAGAGGTCCGGAGAGAAAGAGTGAGAGAAAAGGTCAAACGTGCCCGACACATCATGTACACACAGCGACAACTGCTCACTCAACCTACCTGATCCACTGCAGGATGGATCCAGCAGGACATACTCTACATCTTTATACTGCGGGCTTTCAGGGTCCACCTTCAAGAAGTCCTGGTTGGCCAGCTGCTGACAGGTGACTCCAGCTCGGAGCAGGAGAGTCGACATGGTGGCCAGGCGCTTGGCATCCAAATCAAAGGCAAACAGCCTGCCCTTGTTCTTCAGGATGGCTGCCAGGTGGCTGGATTTGTTCCCTGGGGCGGCACAGGCATCAATGAGGTGGCTGCCAGGCGTGGGGTTGAGGAGGAAGGCGGGGAGGCAGCTGGCTTTGTCCTGCAGAATGATGTGTCCGGCCTTGTACAGGAAGTGGTCATGGAAGTCAGTTTTAGGAGAGAAGACCAGCAGCTCTGGCAGGTGCATGTCCCTCACAAAGCTTTTCTCCTTCAGGGTGAAGTCATCCAGCCTGGAGGCCTGTCCCAGGTAGGAGAAACCATCCCTCTTCAGGTAGTCCACAGTATCCTCCACGGTGGTCTTCAGGGTGTTCACACGCGCATACCTGGGCAGCCGGTCCCCGGCGGGCTGCTGGACGCTGACCGGGAGCAGGTCTTCATTCTTACTGACCTTCTGTTTCACTTTCATGCGGGCCAGCACCGCCTGCAGTCTGGAGCGATGCTTCATCATCATGGCCTTCCAGGAGCCGCCGCACTTCAGCCCCTGACCCATCAGCAGGTCGTAGACCAGCACCTTGGCCAGGTGGATCCTCAGCTTGGTGGCTTTGAGCAGCTTGGTGGACTCGATGATCTCCTCCAGGATGGACGAAAACTTCTGGGTCTCACAAACCAGGGCGAACAGCTGCTTGATGTTTGAAAACTTACTGTCGTAGACTAGAGTTTTCAGCGCGCCCTGCTTCCTCTCGGCTTTCTCCAGGATGTCAGCGGCTTTCACGTACAGAGCCATGGCGACTAAACTAACTTTAAGCTAGCTAACGAGCCGGACTACGTCGCGAGTTTATCCGCTACTTGTTGGTTTTTAACTTGTGACAACTGGCCGGACGCATTCCTCTTCCTTCAGAAGTTTCCTCTTCCCTGAGCAGGGAACAACAAGCGGCTTCTTCTCCTCATTCAAGTTTGATAAAAACAATTTCGTGAATACTTTCCCAGCAGCCCTGCACATGGCAGAGGACGGGTCGTGACTCCGGAAGTAAAAGCTGACGCACTGTTTTCGTCTGACGTAGGAGGTCCGTCTGGCCAATCACCGATGGGAACTGAAAGATATTATTATTATTATTATTATAATAATTATTATTGTTGTTGTTGTTGGGGCACTTCACTGTCCTTTTACTAAAATACTCCATAATAAACATTTTTATAGAGATTTAAATTACAGCAATGCCTCAGACATTTTCTAAACATTAGTAAAACATTTAAGTCAACGACTAATTCATATCCCAAAACCATCTTGGTAATAAAAGTTTTTTAATAGTTTTTGATAGTTTATAATCATCCTAATCTTTTCAGTCGGATGAAATAAACTACTCTAAATGCTATCCTGTCCATCCTTTCTCTCTTGCTCCCTGCTGATTACAATATTAGTTACTTTCTACCCAAGATAGCCCTCACAGAAATCACAAAAATGGACTTGAACACATGAAACCATGGGCCACAGGTACAGGAACTGTAGAGAAAACTAGCTTTATTTTTTAATAATATAATAAAGTACATTCTCTGGATATTTCCACGTGGAGACACAAGGACCACTGCACTAAAATCAGTTAGCTGTCATTCAATGTGAACAGTCTTATAATGACCACCAACCCCCATCACACATTACAAGTTAAGAGCAAAAATAGTTGATAAATCATTAAGGCTCCTGAGATTCATTGCAACAACTTAAAGTATCACTGATCAATAAAAATGAAAAATATAAACAAATTGTAAAAGACTAATAAAATAGACATGGCTTTTACAAAATGTTGAAACGGTGCCTAGTCTCAATCAATTTACTGCCAAGCGACCCGTCACACAGTTCATCTGTACTTCATCAACATGTCGATGTGTACAGCATACAAAACAAATAAATTACACACAAAAATACAGCTTACAAAAATGTACAGTTCATTTCCAGTAACTTAAACCTTTAGGCACTAAATAGTCCCGCACTCACTAAGGTATATCTGTTCAGTAATAAATATCAAATTTCTGCATTAAGGTAAATGTGTAGTGACGTTAAAGCACTTTCATTGTAGCATCTTTCAAATTATTTCAATGGCACCAACGTTCACTGCTTTCTTCCACAGTGTCTGTTCTTAATACAACCAGTTTGAGTCAGTCAGAAGATTGTTTATTCTATAGACACTGACCACAGATGCTTCTTTTTCTCCTTTGTCTGTGATGAGGTTGATGTTCACTACTCTGGACTGCATTTTTAAAAAAGGCATAATTCATACTTAAGATTAATTTTTTACAGTGTTGAATTATGCCCAAATACAACAAGTCTTTATCATATAATCTTTTTGGAATTTTTATGTGAAGGACAAAGAAAATCTGCCTTCACTTTAAACACTTGCAGTCATCTGAACCTACAGTTGTCCTGCTGGTTGCCACTGTTTGTTTTTCCATACAAAAGGGATCTGATTGTCCTCATTTCTAATATACTTTCAATATATTTTGCTGATGT